GAGAGAGAGAGAGAGAGAGAGAGAGAGAGAGAGAGAGAGAGAGAGAGTACTTCCATCGATAGAATGAGCAAAACCGGAATGAATCTTCCACTAGAATATGGAAATATACTCTGATATTACACCAATGGAGAACCAAAGCACCGAGTCCGAATGTCAATGAGAGCATACTCTCGCCACCACCGACACACGTATCCAGAGCCCTTCCTCCTTACTTGGCGCTCAGCGCCCAGACTACCATCACACAGCTACGTCTTGCCTACGAATTGACAATGCAACCGTTGACGTCAGCAGCAGAACCGGAGTACATGAAGATGTCGGCCCACACAGACTATCACCAAGACCAGGTATTTGCCCTCACGTCATCATCCTCGTCTCTCTCTCACTCTTCCTTGTTTCTCACCCACATCTTCTTCCTCATGCACAAAGACCACCACTACCCCTTGCTGTACAACCAAGCACCAGCCGGCTATGGAGGCTGGGCTATGGCGCTGCCCTCAGCAGCGCCCTGCACACACGACCGCACGTGCACGAACACCTTGCCTTAGCGCAGCCTACAGCACGCGAGCGCAGGCTCAAGCAGCGCTGCCGCACTACTGGCAAGTGCCCGAATGAATGGCCAGACAGTGAGCACTTTCCTATATGGAAAGTGCCTGGCCTGGTCTGCGGCCTGGCTGGGCTGGGCCTGTGCCCAGAAGCTTCCGGTAGGCCCTGTGCACCGTACAGTTACTGCCCAACTGCCAGTCGTGCCTTCTGCTGTGTGTGTGGCCCGGGGCCTGCTTTCACGTTCTTCCAGAAGTCGCCCGAAGGCCGATGCAGGATGTTGCGGCCTGGGCCTGGGTTTTCCCTCAACCAACTGACGCGAGCCAACTGTCTGAACCCCAAATGCAAAATTGCCAACATAGGCCTCTTGGAATTATCAGGCCCGCCTTCACTTAGGGCGGGCCACATTTCGTAACAGAGCCCCACCGGGCTTGCCGAGGAGCTGATTTCTCGCAATAGTCCTTACCCTTCCTTCTCTTTGATCTCCGCTGCAATGCTTTGCAAGCTATGCGTGAAGGCTGCGGCGCTGTTACATGCTGAAAGCCTACACACGGGCCCCTCACGGGACCCGAGGTTGGAATAGGGCCCCCAGGTCGCGTCACCGCAACCTGAAGGCCCTATGGCATTTTTACTTGGGC